CCTAAGTTGAGGGGTCCATCAGATGTTTGGATGGCGATGGTCCCTCTGATCTGTTATGCGACCGTCGAGTGGCACTCCACTGATCGCGTGCTCCGGCAGTTTGGTTGTTTTTAATCAATTCCGGAAGCACCTCACAATATGGACGAGTTGCATAGCTTAGATAGACGCGGCAAGACAGATACAGATTGACTGGTGAGGCATCATGGGTGGGTCGTGTTGTGGGAGGATCGGCATCAGCGTCTTCCCCGTAGAGAACCCATTTTTGATGACCTCTTGATGTACGCTGAGGATTATTATGAGTGGTTCAACAGTAACGGGAAACCGTTTATACTTCCCGAGGATGCACGAGGGTAGACCTTTCCACGACGTCGACAGAGACGTTCACCGACACATCACCATCGTCCCTTCAGCTGTACCAGCAGGACCTTCCCAGCAGCCACCACAGCCATATATGATGCCGTCATCGCCTTTCCATTACCAGATACCACCGCCGCCGCCTTCACCTGGTTTTATGACCCCGCCACCGTCACAGATGACCCCTCCTGGAGGCTATTATGGGTATATGTTTGTAGATCTGACTTGGGGTTCATATGCTGGATATTTGGCGGGTTCAACCTCATCACCCATGGCTACAGCACAGACACCTCCTGTACAGTTTTCACACTCAGCGATGTCTGGGTTTTCCCAGTTTTCGCAGGCAAGTGGGATAGTCAGTCATACACCTCCAGGGTCCTTATTCTATGGAGGTGCTTCATCGTCATCAGCTCCTCATCAACCTAATGTACCTGCTCAGGACGACGACGACGACGATGGTGACGACGACGATGACAGCGAGGAGTCAGAACCAGTGATACGAAGAAATCCTCCTCGAGACCGACTGCCACCGCCCTACGGAATACATTCGCGACGCAGACATCGATAGATTTTTTTTATTATATTTTTATTTACTTTATTTTGTTTAATTGTAATTTTTTATTATTTCTCATTTAATACTTAATTTATTTTGTTAAATTTGTTAGATTTTTTTTTAATATATTTCAGTTAATTTTTTATTACCATTTAATATCAGTTATTGTAATTTGGTTATCATTTACCATTTAATTCTTATTGTAAGTTTGTTGTATTTAAATACCAAATTGTTATTAGTTTGATAAAATTTAATGATTGTGTTCGTTTTTTTAAATCTTCATCAGCGATTATCGAATGACATTAACTTGAAGTAAATACAAATTAAATACAAGAATTATTATTTGATAAACAAATACATTTCCTCATCAATTGTTACTTGATGACAACAGAAGTGGACATGTTTTTCTAGTGTGTCCTGGGTTTCTACAATGGTCACAAATTCTATCTTGTCTAGATCTTTCTCGAATATCCATATCGCAATGAATTCGATTGGATTTTGGACGACCACGCTCCCTCAATAAACTCGGATTTGGTACAATCGGAAGTCAATCTTGAACCTCATCAGGGTCTTTGTCATTACCTATGGGGGGAAACTCAAATTCATATACCTTAAAAACTTCAGATAGTAGGTATACGGGATCCACAAAATGGTTATAGTCTTGACGTGTATGCGAGCAAGCCGCTATCACATGAGAGCATGGATACTTCAGAGCTTGAAAAAACCCGCAGTCGCACGTTCTGTCCTTTAGTTTTACTCTTAACGACACAGCTTCAATCCCTTGAAGAGGTCGCGACAACTCTGTGACACGAAACATTTCATGCCTTCTTAAGAAGCTTGTTACAGACATTCTATTTGATGCAGCAATTTTTTTTCTGTAGATCTGCAACTAATCTAGGGTGATAGACATGATCGCCTTGCATCCAGGTTTGAGCTTGTCCCCCGAGCTTCGCAAAAAGCGCCCCCAAACGAAAATATATAGTTTTTACCAAAGCCGCTACAGGTAAGTGACGTGCACCCTTTAAGGTTGAATTGATTGCCTCAACCAAGTTGGTCGTCATGTGTCCATATCGATATCCACCATCATATGCGTTCGTCCACATTTCTTTATCAATGAGGCTGATGTAATCGTATCCTTCCTCGTTCTTCGCCCGCAAATCTTGAAGCATTGATTCTAACGTTCGAGGAAGTAGTTCGTAACCTGATCAAAAATGTATAACTTACTTACTTGCTTTCTTTGCAAAATTAAAATGATCAAAAAATGTATAACTTACTAACTTGCTTTCACTTACTCATGCTCACAATTAATTGACGCTCATCATTCTTCTTGTACCTTCCATGATAGTTCACAACAATGTGTTAGAGACAATACCTATGTTGACAAAGGGTGGTTGCCACATTGGACCCAAAGACTCTATTGCTGCTTTGATCCCAGCTCTGCGATCTGAAATGACAGATTTTTTCCCTCGTGATAACATGTGCACGTAAATTTCGAAGGAAAAAAGCCCAAGAATATGTATCTTCTCCTTCGACAAGAGCAAAAGCAACTGGAAGAATGTTGTGATTGCCATCTTGGACAACTGCCAATAATAAAACTTGCTTGTATTTTCCATACAAGAAAGTCCCGTCGATCTAGACCACAGGCTTGCAGTATTTGGCAACATTAACGCACTTGGGTAGCTCCAAAAAACCCAGTAGAATTAACATCGATCGCGAAGAACTCGATCATTATGGTATGCATAGGAGGTTTCGAAGTCCACAATTGTCCCAAGATTCAACGTCCGCACCAGCCTAAAACAACCTGGAAGTTCATTGTAAGATGCATCCCATTCGCCATGAAGTTTGACAATGGCATTTTGTTTTGCCAACCAAGCTTTTTTTATAGGAGACGGTGTACCCATACTGCGATTGTATAGCTGAAATCAACACTGCAACAGCTATATGAGAGCTTGCTTTTACCATGGGCATGATGGCTTGGCATATCACTTCAGAGTCCAAGTTGGGATGATCTTGGTTGACCCCTCAAGCATAATATGTGTGAGGACCGTTGTATACTGTTAGTTCTCATATGTTGTTTTTTCTCTTCATTTTTGATACGCGAACCATCCAATTGCATCCGTTTTCGCGTAGGACACAGTAGCATACATATTTTTCGGTTGTCGATCGGTTGACTCTGGACTGAACAAAATTACGAATATTGTAATTTTTTATAGCCATCATCGCTTCTTCTTTGCTTGAAAACTCCATGCCTAAAGATAACTCACTATTATTTATTGATGAGTAATATCCATAGCCACTGAGATGAGGCTTATCCGCAAATTCTGGCCCGTACATTGCACCATAATCAGCTTCATACATGTGTGCAGGAGGGTCGGTTTATGCCACATTTCCTGGAACTTCATCATCATCAGAGTTGAATTGCGGTGATTCTGGGTGAATGAATAGTCCAATCTCAGCACCATCCGTACCAGGCTCACGAAGTGGTTCTTCTGGTGGAGATGATGGTTCCTCCATGCTCTCCACATTTAGGTCGAAGAACCTACTACTACTTGAACGCCTTCCCCTTGAACTGGAAGACATATCGACATTGAGATCGAAAAAGCTCGCAGTCGAATGTCTCCCCCTGGAGCTTGAAGCCATCCTGTCAAATGGAAACTGCACAGATGGTTGCGTCGATGACATCTCCATATGGTCAAAGAAATTTGCAGATCAATGCCTTCCCCTTGAACTGGACGCGGTGTTGCCATACGGATTATTCGTTGACCCACCTCGGTACATATCGTAAGGAGTTGCGGATGAATGTCTTCCCATTATGGAATTAAAATCATTACACATTACTGTAGTCGGGCTGTCAGCTTGATCAACTTGTTCAGCCAACCCATAGTGTGAGCTTAAAGATTAACCCCGAACAGCACGCACTTGAACAAAATGTGCATACATCTCAATAGCGGCGTCTGAATAATTACTTTGAGCTTCAACCATCATTTGAACATCATCATCGTTCGAAAGTTCGAACGCTGTATAAGTTAATGACAACAATGATGTTGGAAATCTGTACTGCAACGACGACATTCTTCTGTTACTTCCAACATGAATCTTCCTCGAAATCTTCATTATCAGCTCCTCAAGAGTTATGTTTCTCTTGAATGATATTTTAACATGCTCATTTGATACGAAAACAATGACGGCCTCATCTTCTCGAATTTCACCATCATAATAAACAATAGCTGAAAGTCGCACCATTCTTTGAGTTTAAAAGTGCGGCAATATTATATCTGCAAAAAAAATAACTTGAACAAACCTAATTAAATAAATTATATATGAACGAAAATATAACACAAAAAATTTTGTACACATCAACGTAAATAATTTAAATAATATAATTTTATATTATTATCTGCACCGCAAAACTATTTCGACTTATGCTCCCGCTTTTCAATTTTACAAACATAAAAATTAATTAAAAATATAATATTTTTTCAAATAATGATAATAAACAATAAGTATAATTAAAAAATTATAACAAAATTACCTTATAACGAAAAATCGAATGAACTTCTAAATCAAATATAAGAAGTTTGCCAGAATTATTACTCGTTGACAGAATTGTTGTATTAATTTATAAGAGAGGAGAGATGCGAGAACGTGAGGTATTTATAAACATATAAGGCGCGGTACCTGCACCGCGTTATATGTAATTATTATATACGCGGATCAGGGACCGTGTTAAATATAATTTTGGTACGGCGTATAGCGCGGCTACTGATCCGCGCTATACTCCTATATGGCGTATAGCACGGAGCAGGGGCGCTATATCCCACATGTAACCCAGTCAGTGTATAGCGCGGTACAGGAGGCGCGTTATACTCTACGTGGCGCCAAATCAACATATAATGCGATTCAGGGGCACGCTTTATTACTACGGATGTTAGATCGAAAATATAATATAACTAATATTAGATTGATATATATACCGATCACCGATGATTTTTGGAGAAAATATCCCGTTGTCAAATTCTCAACTGTTTAGAAAGTCATGCATACGCAACAAGGAGAATAAATAAATAAAAAAATCATACTAGTGTCGATACAAACTAAGCTATCTTCCTTCTCCAGCCCCCTTTGTTTTCAGTTTCCGCCAAATTTAGCGGCGATTTCCCCAACCTTCGATTTTGTCCTTAAAAATATCACCTGACACTTCCTCTACCCGTCCCACGCTTTCTCTTTCTCCTTCTCTCTCATTTTTGCAATGGCTCAAACGGTGGCCACTAGATCCATCCACGCTAACTTCTTAAGCAAGGGGTCTGGATCCGTTCAAGAGCGAGCAGAGAAGCTTAAGCCTGCGAGCTTCGCTTCCAAAGTGCTGGCACCTGACTCGAAGAAGAGCAAGGCAGTCGTGTTTAGGAGCAACTCTAGGATTACTGCTAAGAGAGCCGCACGTGCCGACCCTGAAGTTATTCCCGTTTCACCTGAGGATGTACCCAAGGTTTGTGCCACTTTGAACCTTTTTATCCTCCGCTTTCGTTTCTGTTTGGTTGCTGGCAACGCTTGCGAAATAAAAAGGAGAAAATAATCGATTCGACTCTTTCTGGATCTTACTTTATGTTTATTTATTTGTTTATTTAGAAGTTGAACAAGCAATAGGCGTTGAGTTATAAGTGGAGTGATGGTATTATAATGGGGAGGGTCAAGTTGAATGGTTCTGTTTGTTTTGTTGAAAATACATTATCCTATTAGTGAAATTTGCAAAAATCCATAGAAAGAAATGTTTTTTTTTCCTTTTAAAAACGGGGACTTTTTGAAAACTGTGTACTATAAATGGTAAGAATTTAGGATTCAGTCGACATTTCCTGTGAGATTACAAGCCAGTGTGGAGTGTTGGTTGTTTTTGTGCTAAAGAAATTATCCAGAGAATAACAACATAAAAGATGAATTATAGGGGGCAGGGACATTACGTTCGCCTGTTTGCCCTCGCCAATGAAGAAAAGGAACCTTGAATTGTATAACAAATTAAGTTTTTTCTGCTTATTAACACTGGAGTAGGATGATGGGATTGTTTGTTCAATGATGTAGTCACTATGCTTTTGTTTTCATGTAGCCAAAAGTCATTGCTTGTAATTTTTCTGACCATTTGTTTTTCTTTAGAGGGAGGAACAGTATGAGCAGCTAAGGGGGATTCAGCAAGTAGGCGATACATCAGTTGGTATGTGGTCCAAGCCTATTGTTAGACGTAAAACAAAGATTGTTTGCACAATTGGTCCTTCAACAAACACACGGGAAATGATATGGAAATTGGCTGAGGCTGGAATGAATGTTGCCCGTTTGAATATGTCTCATGGAGACCATGCATCCCATCAGAAAGTTATTGATTTAGTCAAGGAGTATAATGCACAATCCAAAGACAACACCATTGCTATTATGCTTGATACCAAGGTAAGTTCCCTCAATTTCATTTTCTTTTTATTGTGTACAAGTAGTTATGCCAGGTCGCTTGAGTCAATGAGTTTGGTGTTGTGGGAGTTAGACACCAGAGGGACCTTTTGCAAACTTATTGTCAGGATTTTTGTCATCTTAGACAATGCCTCTATCGTAAACCTATATGATCGTGCCAAATATTTTCTTGGATTTTGAATACAGGTTCGGTTATGGTCATGCTAGCACTCTATTTTGGAGTAAGACCAGCAAGTATGTACAAGTGACAGTATGTAGTCGGTACCTGGTTTGGGCACTTAATGAGAAAGACTTTAATATACATACAAATATATATATATGTATATGTGTGTGTGTGTGTGTGTGTGTGTAGATGTGTGTGCATATAGTTTTTGACTTCATTCATTTGTTTAATTTGTGAGGTTATGGACCCTTAAATTTGTTGGACATAGTGTTGTAGGCAACAATAATAATTGATAATACGCAATTTTCTTCTGATAATTCTATCATTTATTGTATTCTTATGAGTGCTTGGTTTTGTTTATTAGGGCCCTGAGGTTAGGAGTGGCGACTTGCCCCAACCAATTACAGTAACAACTGGGCAGGAATATAGTTTTACAATTAGGAGAGGAGTTGGGACACCTGATTGTGTCAGTGTTAACTATGATGATTTTGTTAATGACGTAGAAGTTGGTGACATGCTTCTCGTTGATGGTATGCTTCCATGAACTTCAACAGACTGCAGATTTTTTCAGGTTTTGTTAACTTTTAAAGTTTGTTAATCATGGCCCCCTATCCTAATAACGGCAGCTAGCATGCATGTTTGCATACCAAGCTGGTTTTGAGCAAAAGTACCTTGTAATATGAATCATCTTTAAGTTCCAAGGCGAATGTGCATCCTTCCATTATCAAACAAGAGTTTAGTGTGCTAAATAACATGAACTAGATTATGAACACAAAGCACTAGAAAATTCTCGGTTGACATTGTCATTTTGTTGATTACATGTTCCTCTGACTACTGATTCATGCTGTAGGTGGTATGATGTCATTTTTAGTGAAGTCTAAGACAGAAGATTCAGTGAAGTGTGAAGTAGTTGATGGTGGTGAGCTTAAGTCTAGGCGGCATTTAAATGTCCGAGGAAAAAGTGCTACACTGCCTTCTATTACAGGTTGGTCCTCGAAATTTAATTGTTCCAATTTCTATTGTAGAATTTCCACTTTCCTCTTCTTTCTCCTTTTTTATCCCACACTTTCTATATAGGGTTGAGAATGATGGGTTATTCATTTTGGTTGGTTTATTGCAGAAAAGGACTGGGATGACATAAAATTTGGAGTAGACAATAAAGTTGACTTTTATGCTGTTTCCTTTGTTAAAGATGCCGAAGTGGTTCATGAGTTGAAGAATTATCTGCAGAGTATTTTTTTCATCTTATTGTTTTCTTTAGTGAAATAACAACAGTGGCTCTGGTATATGTTTTAGATTCTCTTCTACTGATGTCTTTTTTCCTTTGCTTTTGGCAGTTTGTGATGCAGATATTCATGTTATTGTTAAAATTGAAAGTGCGGATTCTATTCCAAATTTGCATTCAATTATAACAGCATCTGATGGGGTGATCACTTAATTTTTTTATTGAATCGTTAATGCAGCTAAATTTTAGATTTATATTTTATGCATATGAAGGTTTAGCTAGTTTTCTGGCTATTTCATACATTCAGCTGTATCTTTGCTGAAGAAAAATATTTTCCATTTTTTAGGAAAATTGATGCTAAAATGTTATGAGGCTTTTTTCTAATATCAAGTACCATCTGTGTACTTGCTTTTTTTTTTCAAATGTTAAGTACCATTTGTGATATTTAACTGCTTCTTCTGATGATAATATGATTTGACATTAAAATCTAGTTATTGATTTTTCATCAATATATGTGATGTGTAGAAAGTAATTCTTGTTCTCTTATTTTAGGCAATGGTTGCTAGAGGAGATCTTGGTGCAGAGCTTCCTATCGAGGAGGTTCCACTTTTGCAGGTTGGTTTAGTTTTTTATTGAACGGTAAAAGATAATTCATCAAACAGACTATATTTACTTGTAAAGCAATTTATTTATTTACTTAGCCACTCAGAATTCTAGTTGGTGTAAAATGTAGGAAGAGATAATTAGAACATGTCGAAGCATGGGAAAAGCTGTTATTGTGGCAACCAATATGCTTGAAAGTATGATTGTTCATCCAACACCAACCAGAGCAGAGGTATCTGACATTGCCATTGCTGTTCGTGAGGGTGCTGACGCTGTCATGCTTTCTGGAGAAACAGCTCATGGAAAGTAAGTTATTTAAGTTTTACATGGAATTCTAGAAATTCTATTTTACTTCCTCCTCATTGTACCTTTATTTTTTCCTTGTGTGAAAAACCACCCCTTGCCATTTTTGCTATTAAAAGTAGGTAAGGATATTTTTGGATCCTAATTGGTGGAGGTAGAAGCATGTGAGCACTATTTGTAATTTTGTAATTAAAATCAACTTAACGAAACTCTTTGGGACATAAAACTAGAATGTCATATCTGCTACATTGCCTTATCTTTGCTCAAGTGGAATTGTATGAACAATGATCAAAGTACTCTACCTAAGTGCACTTTAGTAAATAGGTTTCACTTTCTTGCAGGTTCCCGTTGAAAGCTGTTAAAGTGATGCATACAGTTGCACTACGAACTGAAGCAACTATATCTGGTGGTGAAATGCCACCTAATCTAGGTCAAGCTTTCAAGGTCATTTAACATGTTATATGCACTTTCAGTTCAGCATTTCATAATGCTGTATTTTTTTTATTAACTATCAATTCTGACTGCAGTTACTTATTCTCTGCAGAACCATATGAGTGAAATGTTTGCATATCATGCAACTATGATGTCAAATACTCTTGGAATCTCCACTGTTGTCTTCACTAGAACTGGTTTCATGGCTATATTACTTAGCCATTTTCGTCCTTCGGGCACTATCTTTGCCTTCACAAATGAGTGAGTTTGACCTGTTCCTGAATCTCAGTTCTTTCTCCACTGTCTTATTCGTCTTCTGCTATGGCATAATAATAACAGTCTACCCTATTTGAGTCTGACTTTATGAATATATTAATTCCAAATGGGATGATAATATCTATGAACTCAGAAGTGCAATATTTCACTAGTATTGTAATGTCAATGTGAAGATTCAACCATTACTGGACTTTATGAACTTGAAAGTTTGACTATGACTTTATTGGTCATGCAGGAAAAGGGTACAACAACGATTAGCTTTATATCAAGGAGTATGTCCCATACACATGGAGTTCTTAGATGATGCTGAGGAAACCTTTGAGAAGGCTTTAGCTTTATTGCAGGTAAGGTTTTAACAGAGTATTCATTATGAAGGTTCCCTTTAATTGGCTGGTAACTATAGATTTAGTTGTTCATGCATCAGTTAACGATTATTTTTGGGCAACTTATAACTGACAACTCTAAACTTCAGTATACTACTTTGGAGTTTGGTTCATTTGATTCTTGCAAAAAGGTTATTTTTGTAACGCATGCTAGAAGAATTATTGTGTGCTTGTTTCACGATGAACTTAATGGTTGATGTACAGAGGCAAGGAATGGTGAAGGAAGGAGAAGAGATCTCTCTTGTTCAGAGCGGCAGACAGCCCATCTGGCGATTCCAGTCCACTCACAATATCCAGGTCCGAAAAGTGTAGCGGTTTTCAAAGAGTCCCATTCGACTGAGTTATATTCTTCATGCTATTATTTATAGTTCCAAATGGTCACATAGAAGAGTATTCAGGTTAGGTTTGGGACCTATGTCTTATTATTTAGCGTTTCATGTTTGCTCCAGATTTCTTGGACTATGGGACTATTATTCATTGCCTCCTTTTCTTTTTCTCCTTTTTAATATCCCCCCTAAACAAGATAGTTTTTGAAGATTCTAGTTTTGTATTCGAAGATTATCCAAATGCGAAATATGAGGTAGGCAGGCAGGCTGATATATTGAGCTTGTGTTTCTAGTAAAAAGGAATGTGATTTTGCAGCACACTGTAAGCTTAATTTGAGTAGTCGTCAAACATCCATGCATTTTCAATGATTCTTGTGAAATGAAGCTATAGTTTAAAAGGGCCCGGCTGGCTGCTATTGTGATTTATTGTTTCAGTTCCACATCCAAAACTCTATCCTTATAAATGGGGAAGCCTTATACGGATGCTATCAGCCAACAAGAATGGGATGAAATACTTATTTTGTTTACCAAGTAGACATAGTATATGAACCTCATCGAGTGTGGTCTTTATACTAAAAGGAAATGTTATTTTCCTTATAAGTCTTGAGTTCGAGTAGTTGTATTTACAGGGTATGTTTGTGTTGTCAATAGAGTACAAAAATTTCGAATAGATATTATTACTTTGTATTCATACCAGACTATTATATATTAGCTCAAGAAAAGGGTAATTAAATAAAGACCTAAAAACCTAACTTGTAGCCCAAGATTAATTTTTAAACGGGTTAAGGTAAATAAACAATAAATGTCACGTGTGAATTAATCTATAAACGGGTTAATTTTGAGTTCAATAAAAAATATGTTAGTTCAAACTGATATATTTGTTAGTTGATTTATAACTTTTATTTAAAATTATATTTATTTGACTAAAATAAAAATATTAATTAAATTGTTTCAATAAAAGAATAGGAGCAAAGTGGACTTTGGCATTATACCATAACTGCTTATGTTTTATATATATATATATATATATATATATATATATATATATAACCACTAGTATATGATCTATTAATTGATTAATCCGAATAATGAAAATGAATCGATTTGGTTATTAACTAGTTTGTAACATGATTTGTGCATTTAAAACTTGTATTAGGTTAAATGGTTGAGTCTTTAAATAAGTGATAAAACTGGATTAAATTGATCTTTGATGTTATACCAATATAATATACCGAATAATAAATTATCAATTATTATTTTATTAATATTAATGATATTCATCTTTTATTACTAATATCCAATGATATATTTATTTATATATTTTATTTTTAAATATTTAATTATTTTCCCTTTTATGATTTAACTTTATGAAAGGAATTATACTTAAAAATGTTTATAAATTTTAAATTTTGTTCATTGTATTTTTCAGAAGATATTATTTAAAAAACATTAAAAAGAAAAGGGAAATTCCCTAACCCAACCGTCCATCCATGGAGAAGATAATGGTATGGGGTTTTAGTGTACAATGGAAATCATATTTTCCCAGTTCAACTTCCCCCGGAACTCTAATTTTTCCGTTTTTAACAAATTATCAACCAGAAAATAATTAACAATTACTTGAAGAAAAAAATGTCTGCTTTTCATGTCTCAAATTTAGTCATTAGCACGCATGCCTCATCAACTCATCCGAAATTCCCCTGTTTTTCTCTCTTCCAAAAGTCCCTTTCGTTTCCCTACTCTGTTCCTCAATCTCAAAGGAAAATTGCAACTTTCGTGTCTTCAAAATCGTCAGAATCAGGGGAGTTGCCAACCGCAGAAGATGAGTGGCTCAGCAGACTCCCTGTTAAGAACAAGCCCCTTTACTCTCACAGCTTGCCTTGCATTGAAGCATGGCTTAGGAGCTCAGGGTTTTATCAAACCAGAGATGACCGTGCTGTTTGGTTGATTGAAAAACCTGATTGGCATGCCCAGTGATCTCTTGATGTCACTGATCTTTGTATAAGGTAAAACAATGGCTTTTACCCATTTCCTTTGTCTGATTTTATTTTATTATTGTTACTTTTGGGTGTGCTCTATTTCGTTTAATCTGAGATGGGTATCTTTCTTTAGATTGATTGTTAACTGGGTTTACAGAATTTTTTAGATGGTGTGAAATTGGTATTTCTTGTACTAAATTGCATAAAAAAGAAAATTCATGGGTATAATTGAATTGCTTAAGGTATCTGGTCTTGCTGAAAACTGACATTTTGTTGTATGGGAGAGAAAAGCTCTAGGAAGAAACCACAATGCAACAGAGTACTGCATTAACCCGGAAAGGCGTCCCTTAGGCAATGCCGCAGCCGGTTAATAGGGAGGTTTCTGTATCCTTTTCGCCAAAGGTTGATGTTGTTTAGTTTCTATTATGGAGCAAACATTCTGTAGTTTCTAGTGACTAACATAAGCTGGCATATAAGTTTCTAAATTGTGGTATTCCAGCCATGCATACGCTACAAAGTTTCCATTAAATGTTGTGGCATTTTATGTGAAATACTAGCTATAGGCGTTGATAATGACAAAATTTAGTTGACTTGACCAAGTTCCATCGAGTTAAACAGAATATGCGTTCGAAAGCTGAAACGAAAAAAAAACAGTGGTTAAGGATAGGTATAAAGTTGGGAAGGTTTGGTCATTTCCACCTTCTACAATTGTTACCAGGATTGGTGATCACAATCATTGCTGCATGGATGCATGCAATGCTTCCTGCTTGCAAATCTATAGTAGAGTTGACCTATGAAGCAAAAACCGTGAGTGTTAACTACACTGGTTACTGTTCTTTTTCGCACAATTTCTCATTTTTGCATAAATTTAGAGAGCGGGATAGAATTCCAGAAACGAAGAGAGAAGATACGCTGGAAAATTGATGCTATTTGTTAGAGAGAATGAGCAAAAGATTTTGGATGTTAACTATAGGATGTTTTTAGAGGAGGCTTAATTCTCTCCAAACCTTGTCCAAAATCTAATGCCTTTTCTACTGTACCTTGTTTCTTAGGTTGGATCAAGCTGTATCTTCTTCTGATACAATCTGCTAAAACGAACCATTTCCATTTAGTGAAAATTTATTAAAACCTGCAAACTCATTCAAACTTATTGCATTTGATTGCTTGATGATCTCAGTGTAATTTAATTAAATGTAGTCCGACGTCTGGGGGGGAATCGGAAGGGAAATGAACAAAAATAAAAAAGTATTGTACGGCATTCTTCTCAACTTTATCCCAAATTTTATATTTGATTGGGCTAAGAAGAAGATTGTATCATATGCTGCAGGTATTTGAAGAGTGGACCTGGGAATCTTGAAAGAGACGTCGAAAGGAGATTCAGTTATGCATTGAGTAGAGAGGATATCGAAAACGCAATACTCGGAGGACCGTAAAGACCTTAGTTAGTTCCTCATCATGCATATCTTTCAATCAAGCAGTTGCATCAGTTACTTTATCAACTTCCTGAACTTTTGAGGATATCCTAGCATTGTGAATTTTCAATCTTATGCCTTTTCTCCTGTCTTGCTGTTTCTTGTCTTAGTCTCTTAGATTGAAGAAAGCAAGTTATGGGTATTTTATGAGCTAATTATCATACATTTCAGATAGATATATGGCTCATTGCTATTATTATTCTTGTTTTCCTATTTCCCAAGTTATATTATACGTTTAAATTCTGCTTTGTGATAATTCCAGCAAACATAAGTACATATAGTCATCTGTTCAGAAACAGCTCTAGTGTTAGCCAGAGTTACATACATCCGATACCCGAGGGGGAGTGGGTGAGTTGGTGAGGACAGTCGCCTCCTAAAAGTTTCAAGTTTTTATACATTTTATATATATTTTTGTATTTTTGATTGAAAATTTGTTTTCGCCCCTAAGAGTAATGATTTTCTAGTGATACTAAATTAGATTTATATAATATCAATCAGTGGATTTAACAATATAGTTTACGTTTACACAGAGCCAGGAGGAAATCACCCTTTATACAATAGTGGCCTAGATAGCAACGGTTGCAGCTCTTATTCGTATAACACTCAGAAATCATTAAAAACCAAACGAAAAACCAGGCAGAAAACCTCTCGTCTCTCGCCTATTTGTTCAACACTTCCTTTTAATTTTTTCCCCATCACACTTCTAAGCTAGCTATTTAGGTAATCTTACCCTTCAAATCTCTTCAAAGCGGCTGTTTCCTTGCATAGAAACCGATACGGTGGTGGCTATCTGAGTTTCATTTTGGGCGCCACCACAACCACCATCCTCTCGGCTGAAATTTCTTCTAAATACCGACCTTTGGTTTCTGGGACGAGGAATGTGAAACAAAATCCCAACATATTTGTAAATTCCAAAGCGATAATGGCAGCCTTGATTTTCTTAACATTCCCGTCCAATGTATATGTTTGTACAACGAAAGCTCCAATCATGGCTCCGGCCTTTCCTGAAGCCGCACTCAACGCATGACAAGTGGACCGCACCCTGGTAGGGAACAGCTCTGCCGGTAGCACAAAGGTTGTACTGTTGAGACCAAAGTTGGCGAAAAAGACAGTTAACCCATAAAGAAGAACAAACAGGAACTTATTATGATCCCTGAGATAATCATATTTGACACCAAGAATCAGCATGAATATGGACATCAAGAAGAATCCAACCAGTTGGATGACAAAACGACCGATCGTTTCTATGAAAAGTACGGTGAACCAGTACCCTGGAAACGTACCTAGCAAAGCAACAACGAACATGGCACGTGAGGTCTCCAAGACTTCTCTAATGGCGCTCACATCAGGAGCTTTATTGGGTAAACCCATGGCCGGGAAAATGTCCTTTTGGGTTAGGTTTAGACTGTAGAAAGCAATATCCAACAGGAACCAAGTGGTCATTGTACCTATAAGATGATAGCCATGGCGTCTGTAGAACTCATGTGATAGTAATGTGTACTGGTTCGCCGCTTTGAATTGTGAAACCTTATCTGATTCGACATCGTGTTCCATTTCAAGAACTCGACCCATATCAGCCGCCGCTTGTTTCGCATTCCCTTGAATGATTGCAGTGTAACGACCGGTTTCCGGCATCTTCATCCGCCAATACTGTTAAAAGAGCTGGTAACGAACCGAACAGGAGCACAATCCGCCATAGATAATCTGCTTCCGGTCGTGTGGAGAATACATGATCATCTTTAAAACTAGGTGCTGGATAAAGCTCAAGGAAGACAGCTGAAAGAATCATGGAAACCAAGCCGGCAAATATAATCCCCACACCTTGCATGGCGAAAACCGCCGCAATGAATGCCCCACGAGTTTTTTT